CGACAAATTACTTTCTGAGAGTTTCTTTGTTTGCAACCTTTTTATTTCAGTTGTTCCTGATACATTTCATTCGAGTCGTCATGCAACAAAGCTTTGTCTCTCGGTTTAAAATGATGAACTTCCGCTCTGATGTGCAAATGAATTTAATTTAAATTTATAATTTTAATTTCTTCTTTACCATCGACACGGGAATAATAATAACTCTATCCTTTTCTTGTAATTACCAAGTAATTACCTTCTTCTTTTAATTTTTTAATCATCATAATAAAATAATACTAATGATTAAAAGAAATGTGATTTTTTTTTATTTGTGTTTTGCATTCGGATGCATTAAATTATAATTTGCATTATACTTCAATAAAGGGGACAAGCTCATCGGTGTTGCATGGAAGAGTGCAATTAAACTTATTGTGTCTTCTCTGATTGACCACCATGAAAAATTTAAAATGCTAAAAACTATTAAGTTAAATTAAAGTTTCGACAATTATTCTTTGTTAAAAAAAAACTTTCTGAAAGTAGACTGTGCTGTTACTAAATTATTATATTAGTAAACTTCTATATTTGCTTAATTTCTCAATTCTTATAGTGAGACAATGAAAATACAAAATAGTCTTTTAGGAGAATTGAAAGCAAAAATTTTTATTACAGCTAAAAGAAACAACAGCAAAAAGGCTTTATACTTGAAACACACGTGCGTCTTGCAACAAATTACATGAACCAAAGAAAAAAAGGTCTTGAGACATTCAAAGAAATAATAATTTATTGCTTTTATATATTTTTTATTCAGTTTTTTTATTTTCCTAACTGGTATATCTCAAATGATCAGCTGGCAGAAACAATATTTCTGTGTAAACATTTAGAAAAAGTAAATTTTTAAAAACTTTGCAAAGTTTAATAACAGTTGTATTTACTATAAAGATCATCTCATAGAAATTATCATCGTGAATAAATGAATGCCTTCAATCTAAACTTTTACTTGTCTTTTTAGAAAAAATAAATGAAATTAAGATTTGGACTGCAAATTTCATTCTTTGAAAGGTAAGAAATTCGTACCAAATAAGTGTGGTAATATATAAAGGAAAGATTAAATGAATAAGAGTGAAAGGAACCAGTTGTAAAATGCAGTTGCAATACTATTGTAGTTCGAGACGCTTGTTAATAAAATATAAAAAATAAACATTTGCACTAAATTTTGTAAATTTTTATCATGTTCTGATCGACCCCATAAGAAAAAAATTATTTCTATGAATTTTGCAACATTTGTATAAATTTTTATTTTGGATATTTGACACGTATGAGAAATACTAAATTGTTACAATTATTGTGCATCAAAAATATTTTGTTAATATTATTACATTTTGGGGAATTCAATTACAATTGACTTTCAAGACACATTCCAAAAATGCTAAAAATATTTTACTGCCTTTTAAATCGTATCATTTTTCGTTCGAAACTATTGACACAAATATTTTCGTTTTGTATAAATTCATCAATTGCTCCCATCTGGGATTTCACACCCAAAAAAAGTATTTGTGCTTAGGTTCATGAAACTAATTATAATTCTCTACATTTATTCATGATGAAGAATTTATCAAAACAAAATAAATAAATATAGAATCCTTAAGTATGTTGTAAACCATCGTGCGCTAAAAAAGTCATTAATGTGAGTTCCGTCTCATGACGTCATTATCAGTTTCTTAAGAAATTGAATGTAGCACAACACTCTTAAAAAATTTACCATCAGTGAGGGAGATTGGTTAGCTGTGATACATCTATTTTTTGAACAAAAATTATGCAATTTTTCGATTTCTCCTTCCATAACCGAGATTTTGATCATGGTTTTGATTAAAAATTAAAAGCGGAAGAATTTTCAATCATTCTTATGAAAATAAAAAAGAATAATTTTGGGATTTTCTCCCCATTCAAATATATTTTTTGATTTTTTTTCTCAAAAATGTTAAGTTGTGTAGTAAAACTCGAGTAAAGCAAAAACACTTAATTTCTGATTTAAAAGCTTATGCGTATTTTTAAGTCTAATAAGAATATTTACTCCTAGAATTGGAAACTTTTAATGATCAATATTAGATAAACATAGCTGTCATATTTCACATTTTTTTCTGTAGTTTTGTTTAATGTTTTTACTCTGGCTTATTTTTAACGTTAATTATTGCTAAACAAATATATTATCTTTATAAGTGATGAATGATGATTTAACGAAATGTCTATCTACTGAAACATAAAATATAAAAAAGATTCATAATATTGTTTTTCATGTTAAAAAAAACAAATTAGAATCATTTTTTATCTACCCCATAAATTAATTTTTTTGAGAAAGGGATTTTGCGGTTTCGAGTATCGTAGGAGTTATTGTTTGAAACTAATATGACATATGAAATCATTTCTAAATGATATCAAGCGCGAGCTAAGAAATAACCACAATAGGATGACATGTGCGAGTAATCTAGCTAAAACTGATAAATGTTGTATATATTTATACTTAATTCGTTAGTATTCGTTAAGTAAAATATGGAATTTTAAATTTATTTGTCATTTGAAAACCAAATTTCATTAATATTTAAAAGTTTTTTTTATTCTGCATAAATTCTAAGACCTATTCTTGACCTCAATCTTGGTAATTGCCGAAAATAATTTTGATACAATGAAAACAAAGATGTTTTTATTTAAACTCACCGTTTTATAAATAAAATTATTATTGTTATTATTATTATTATAATATGTAACCGGTGTGATAGATGGAGCATTATAATCCAGTGTGTAGGAATACATGAAGGGATCATTTATTAGCGAATTATCCAATGTCATTTTCCTTAATAATTTTAAAAAGTTCACTCTTATATTACAATTTCACTATGTTTACTTATTTATTTATTTTTTATTCTTTCTCACTTTTTATAAATTGTTTCAATAATTCACTTTTTTTTATTAATATATTTATAACTTATGTTTTCTCAAAACATTACAAAAAATTGATATTTAATATATTCTTTAATTTATTTTTACTTTTTCGGGACGATCTTTACTGTTTCACAGTTGTAAAATAACAAAACAGAAATCCAGTGTGAATCATTGCTTTATACTGTATACTACAAAAATTAATAAAATAATATGAGTGAGAGAATTTTTTTCGTGTCTCTGTAAGAGATTTTGTGACGTCACGGTTATAATTTCTCACACATACTAATTTTTTGCAGACTAGTAGTTTCTATTGGATAAAAATGATGTCGTCATTCTCTAGATATTATTATGAATGCTCTTTTATAATATTTTCAGCATAATCATATTGTTTTTTAAGGCACGTGATATTCAAATTACATTGTTTTTTATGCTAAAATTTTATGAATTTTAGAAAAAAATTATAAACTTTGTCTTAATTTTTATCGTACTATTTTTTATCAGTAAGTTTTTTATAAGTGGAAAGTTTTTTTTTATTAAAAAGGCTTTACTGAATAGAGATGATGAACGCTAATTTATTATCAGCTTTAACGTGAATGACGTAAATGCAAGAAGTTATTCGAATTTTCAAAATATATAAATTTTGTCTACTTTCATATAATTTTCCAATTTTATTAACCTTGTGCTGATTACGATTGTCAATTATTTATGCCGTCATTATTTTTAGTGTATTCGTCATTGTTTTCGAAGAAATAATATCTGATTTCCAGTAAGTTATTTGTTCACCTACTAAAACATACAAAAAATTGATCAATCAAGTATATTCACATGCTTGAATCTATCTTAACAATATAAAATTGTAAATGTATTGAGACAAAGAGAGAAAAAAATGAGAGAAAAGAGGATAAGAGCATAAAAGAGAATGACGTCATCTTTCATAGGCGTAAAAAATAACTACCATTAACCATGAAAATATATTGAAGATTGCTGTAGGATGACGTCATCTTTATTATTGTTTCTTATAGTGTATTTTCTTGGTTGTTTCGGAATGAACCTTGCACTTACTAAAATTCTTAATATTCAAAAGTTATCTTGTAAAAACGTGTTTTTGTATTAATCTGCATTTTTAATTCTTTGTTCGATTTGTTATAAAAATTATTTTATCAACCCAATTTTTTTAAATAAAACATTTGTTTAATATTTAATCTACTTACTCTTATTTTTTCAACCTAAAGTTTATTGATTTTTCTGCTTTTTTCATACACAAATCGGCGACAAATATTCTACCCTTCTTATTTTATTAAGTTTTATTTGAGAGCCATTTACAGTTTTCTATGTGTCTTATGCCTTGCTCTCCTCATGGTAAAGAAATTATACTGCACACAGCACACAAGAGAAGTTAATAAATACATCAATTGTTATCCATTTGCAAATATTTAAATGAATATTTTACTAAATTTAGTTTCTGTTTTTATTTAATGTTTTATAAATTGTTCATCCATATCCATGAACTCTAAAAGTCAAAATTAGAGGACGCTTTTACTACTAACATTATAAATTGGTATGAATGTATTATTAGTATTATTTTTTATCTTGAGCTTAACACAACTTTGCAATTGCTGCAAAATGTGTTAATTATTATTTTATTGTAGAAGGGGGAAAAAACTTAATTGAGCATGATCCAAAATAATACAAAGAAATATAAATAAATTGATAAAAACTACTCTCGATAATTGTGGAAACTAGATTTTTTTAAATATTATTTAATAATTTTTCCATCCCTTACTTACTTTTAAATTATTAGTTCACAAAATAAAATAAATTCGCAATGAAAATAATAAAGCTGTTTACGGTATAATAAAAACACAACTTTTCTACTTATGAAAATGACATAGAATTTCAATTTACAACTACATGTGTTTTTATTGATAAATACACACTAAGTTTGTGTCAAGTGATAAGCCAATATAGCTATATATTGTTCTATAAATTCAAGTCTCTTTGTTCTTCTGAAATCATAAAATCTTATTCCAATATAAATGTATCGAGCCCTCAAGAGCTAACATAGAAATGAAAATCCAACTTACCGATAGCACTTTGTCTTTTTCAATTTCATTCTCAATATTATTTTGTGCATTTGTAAAATTTCCAGATGATGTTGATGTGATAGGCTCATTTTCTGAGTCTGAAGAATCATCCTCTACTTTTATCCGTCTTGGGATTCGTAATTTCATAATTATTGCTGCTTTCAATCCAAAAAATAAATTATTGCTTTTCACTAGTTAAACTTTCGTCAACACCCAAGAATTTCCACTTAAAAAGCTTTTCAATTGCAATTCAATTTGTTTTTGTTCACTAATAAATTGCACTGATTGTTAACACTAGTAAAATAAATTTAATTTACAAGAAAGTACACCAAAAAATATTAATTTTTTTTTTCATTAATTTTTGTGACTACAATTTTGAAATCTTTTTATAATACTTTTTGCGTTTAAATGGAGAATTTCTTGGAAAATGAAATGAGTCAGTTACTAACACATGTTGAGGATTCGCTTGCAAACATTCCAATTTTATATTTTTTTTGTTCAATCAGAAAGAAACGCAAGCACAGGGTGATAATGAAGCGTTTTCATATTTAGTTGTGTATTTATTATTATTATTATTATTTTTTTTTATTTTATCTCTTCTTTGTGCAAAGTTAATTTTTAAAATAAATCTAATTTTATTTAGTACGTTTTTTGCTTGCTATCCGATTTTCTATGTTTTTGAGTTATCTAAATTTTGTTTTGCGATTTGGAAAAAACACCTAAAGATACTGACGTTCAATACACAAATATTTCCCCAAACGTTTTACATGCAATTCGGTGGAAACAAAACGACTTTCATATTCTCACAACTCTCTTTTTCGCTCAATTCTCTCGAAAATTAAATGATGACGCAATGGAGTATACCAAGAACAAATTTTTATTAAATATATTGTGTATCTTCGTATTTGTTACCATGATCTTTTGAATATTCAACCGACATTCCTTTTTTTATACTTAATAATTAACACCAATGTTTCTTTCGTATTTATAAAAGAGCACATTGCCTTCAAGTTTCTTTCTCCTTCCATTATTGTATTCACAATTTGCGTATATTCTTTTAAGAGAGCTATTTTGTGGGATTTTCCCTACACATCATCAGACAATTTCTTGGAAATTAAGTAAACCATGCTACGGACATACTAGTGTCGAAAAAAATCGACATGTATGAATTAAATCAAATACGTAAAAAATGGATCGACATGCTTGAATATGGACGGATCTGTATTCACAAACAGAAGCTTAAAATGAAGAAACTTAATTTGGTTTAAAAATATAAAGGGAATGGAACAAAAAAGACACGTTCTGATTGTTTTAGATTTTTGTATGAAATTACATATTTTACAGTTTCAAAACTTAGTAATAAGAAATCATAAAATTAGCTTTTGATAATTAATAGATGAAGTAATTAGTTTTGCACTATACTCTTTTTTATTGTCTAAATCAAATATATAAATAATTTTCAAATACTTACCTCCCACAAGAATCTTTTATTTCTATAGTAATATTTTTAAAATAAAAATGGAATTTTAAACTGAAGAAGAACACATTCTTAAGCCTTATCACCTAAAATTGAGATAAGTAAAGAATCCAAATAAAAACATGCATCGACATAAATTTAAAGAAAAAAGTAAACTTGGCAATTGAATGAGTCATCGGTACCTGTATTAAGAAGAGATAAAAAAATAGGGAGAATGTTTGTTTTATTTACATTTCATTTATTACTTCGACAAACAGCAGATTGATTTTTTTAATAAAAAATTAAGTAATTGTACAATTATATTGTTAATTATAATTTTGTTAAAGACGCTTCATTAAAGCAAAAAAAAATATTTTTTATTTAATAAAGTTTAAAATTAGCGTATGACTATAATTGTCTGCATGGAGAGAAAATTTCCGGAAATGATTTACATTCTTACGTTACTCGTATGTGATCACGTGGTAATCTTCATTTCAACAAACTGATGACTCATTTCTATCTTTGTTTCTATTTGCTAACATATGTTTTCTTTTTTTATTCTTTGATTTTTTTTTTGAGATTTTAAAGATTTATAAAAAAAGTTTAAAAAAACCTTTTGTTTTATTATACTTATTAAATTTTTATTAGGTAAAAAATATTTAAATTTAAATATTAAATTAATAATTTGAATTTAAAAATAGATAAGGCTTAAGAAATGGCAGAAAAATAAAGGAATAATGTTTCCTTTTTATAAAATATTTGAAAGATAATAATTTGTTGTTTTAAGATATCTTTTCTCATTTTTTTACATTGAATTGTGCATATGATGGATAATTGTTTTGAGATGAAAGATAATTACTACCATATGATGGATTAATGGTTGTCGATTCTCGCCATTGCGACAAGTCTACTTGTGAAATTTGTGAGCAAGGTACTACTTGATTCCTAAACAAAAAAAAAAAAACAAGAAAAGTATTTTAATGAAATTTGTATTTACAATAATATATGTTAAAGAATATATTTACTCTTTGGAAATTCTTAAAAATGCAGATGGTTGCATTTGCTCAATGTTGTTTCCATTATCGCAAAATAAACGTGCCATACTTGCTTTGCGAATTTCAATCAACTGTTCACGTGAAAAAGCAACATCAATTTCACCACGTTCAAAGAAATATCGATCACCAACACGTGTTCTATAAAACTGTTCCGTGAGAATGCACAAAAATGTGGGTCCTGCTAAAGCACCATTTACATGAGCTTCTAATGAACCTCCAACAGTTAAATCTACATCTTCATGGCTGACATACAAAGATCTTAAATTATCAACATCCTGAAATTTAATTAATAAAATATTATAAGTTTCTTGAAATAATTATGATTCTTACTCTTTGCGATATTAAATCTAAGTAATCGTCCCAACTGCTAGCTCTACGAATTCCACAAAATTCTCGGAAATCGTTGTATGATGCTAATCCATGATCTCGATTTCTTTGTATATCGATTGCCCTTAAATCTGCTCCAAAAGGCATACCACGCCGGAAAAGAAAATGCTTTATTTCTACATCAAAATTAATGTCAGTAGTTTCTTGTGGTTGAGTTGACATGCCTCTGCTAAGGAAATCAAAATTATCTCCACTTTCCACAATAACTGGGCGGTTAAACCAATCCGAAAGACGAAGTGATCCAACACGGGTTCTTGATTCTGATATTAAACTAAAAGAAATGTTTTAATGAAATAAAGAAATATTATGTTAAATTACTAAAATGCCTACTCCAAACGACCTTCAATTTGCGAATGAAAGTATCGAAAAGCAGCAGTTGCATGTGAATTAAGAACGGATGGATCTATATTTGGATTATAATCATTTACAAAGCTACCAAGGGTTGTTTGATAGATTAAGCGATTCTTTAACATATTTTCACGTCCTAAGAATATTGGTAACTGTTCATAAAATTTAAAATTCCTTATTATTTTCTAAAATCTTCAGAATCATAAAATTACTTGCCCATTCATAATAGCTTATATGCTGATATTGAGCAATATTTATTCTTCGAGCTTCTTGAAATACTGTTTCATCATCCCATTGCGGATTTATTATTTGAAGATTGTCCGCTAGTCTATTATGTTCACGTAACAATAAAATTTGCATTGTTGTTAATCCTGGATTCTGATTTATTCGTACATCACCACCGAGATAACATGTTTCTCTTGGAGTTTGTACATCACAGGCTGCTGTTGCATTAACATCTTGAGGTGGCCATTCGTTCCCTGCCCTGTTTTCCACTAACATTCTGCCCCCTGTAAAGGCACGAATAGGGCGATTTTGTTGGTCAGAATTTCCATATACAAGTGAAAGATCTAAATAAGATGTTACAACAGTTAACTGTTCAGCCGGTCGATTTTGTATCGTTCCAGGACAACTATTTTCACGATCAGTTTGTGTACGAACAAAATTCATACAATTCGTATTCGTTTGTGAATGTGCTGGATCATTTTTAGGAATTAAAATTGGAAAACATGATGGTGCTTGACCGTTCGTTATCAACTTTCCATCATCTGTACAGCATTGTATTGCATGCTTTCTTGATTGTGTTGCTCCTGCCCCTAAACTCATGTCATGTGTCATTACTTGTCCCCATTGCATGTTGGCTATTGTAAACTCACGATCTGGGACATCATTCTCACCAAAAATAATTAAAGAAATAAGTCGTGCGTTAGGTAATTGTTGACCAGTAACAGAAAGAGTTGGAGCTGAGATTCCGTCACCATAACGTGGTGTCAGTAATCGTCCATATCGATTATTTGCTGCTCCCCATAATGCATTTTTAAGATTATTACAAGTTCCATCGAGTGTCCGATATAATGACTTTGAGCATTGTAAAGATATGGCAGGACACATTTGTGACGGGATTGGCAATACAGACTTTGCAGAATGAATTTGTGGTGAATAAAACGATCCATAATGCCCAAGAGATTTTGAGTACAGCTTTTTTATAAACGGATTGTTTGGTGATGATCCATGATATGATAAGTAAGATGATGTCGGCACGTTTATGCTTAATGCTGATTTTATTATTAGAGTTATTAGAAATAATAAAAGACTCATCTGTGACAATTAAAAAAATAAATTTCTTAAAATTAAAAAATAAAGCATTATTCATAAATTAACTGAGGTATAGTTACATCACTTAGGAAAAAATGGAAAAAAAGTAGGAAGTTATTTATCAAGTGTGAAATTCAAGCATAAATTTCGCAATTTCATACTTTCAAATATATTCTTTTGGAAATACAACACAATATTAAATTAAAAGCTTCATTTGGCTTTGACATTATAGTAAGTTAATTAAGTTATACAATCATTTATGAAACTTTATTATATTTTAAAACTTACTGAAATGATTTTTATTATTTTCTCATCTTTATGCTTTTCTGTTGTTGATATGTTATTGTTTTAGTTGGTAATTATATGAAGTTATAATTATATCATGCGAGAACTTTACACACATGTTAAATGAAAAAAAGGTTAACCATTCTCATAAACCTATTTTTTAGCATATAAAATTATGTGAACATATTAGAATAGTTCATTTCATTTTTTTTATTATGTTTCAAACCTTCTTAGCAATGCAAAGTGAGTGAGTAATTTTATTAATTTGTTAAATGTTTTAAAAGACTGGTATACAACACAATATAAATGTAGAAATCAAGGATAACTTAAGTGTTGATTTCAGCACCCTTAAATTTTATTTTTCTTCTGTGATACGTAACGATTGCAAGAAGCCCAATGTCTGATTAAAATTATGTTGTCTCATTATTATGAATGAAAAAGAAGAAAAAAAAATTGACCATAACTATCAAATCGTTCTCTATTTCAATTACCTTAAACAAAAATGTTTCCCTTTGTTAAAAAAATTTATCTTTTGCTTGAGCTGCTTCAAAATCCTAGAACCCCCTCTATCCCTTAAAAAACAAACGCAATAACTTGAACTAGATTAATAAATATATGAGCCAGACGATTCTATCAAAATTGAAAAAAAAAAATTATGTTTATCACTTTTAAATATTTGTCTTTTGTACAGTAATGGTGATCGTTTCAACTTTCACAATTAAAAAGCCTAATGTTTCTTATAACTGCTTCTAACCACAGACATTCAATGCATTTATTAAGTAAAATTTCTAATTAATAAGTTTGACCAATTTTGATTTAACAAATTATTTTTTTGATTAAATAAAATTACATTTTATAACTTTTTCTTACTGCAACATTGAATTTTTGAAATTCTACACTTTTCTCTCAATAATTTTTTTCCATTCTCCTTTTTTTTGATATTCACTTGCAATTACTTAAGTTTATAAATACTAAATTGTGTCTTACTGTTATAGTTCGTTTTATCACTGTTTTATTAATTTTTCTGAATTTCAAAAATTCATTCCTGAATTCTTCCTTCTTTTTGCAACTTAACTTGTTTTTAACCACTTTATTTTTATAAATCTAACCTGTTGATAAATAAACAAATGAAAACAAACTGTTCGTAAAATATACCGCGCTCAATGATTTATACCTTTGAACGTTTTCCATAAGAAAACTAAGTCGGTTCCAAAGTAATCCCACTTTTTGCAAAAAGAGCTTTTTTTCTCTTTAGTATTTCTTTAAGTTTTTTATGCTTACCAATTAGTACTGCTTTTTAAGTAAAAAAAGAAATACACAAAAACTCGTAAACATTAAAAATTATTTAATTAATACTCTAATTTTACTTTTTGGAGATTTATAAAAAAATGTCTATGATGAAGAAATTAAATTTTCATCATTATTTGAATGTAAAATGTATATTTTACTTTCTGTATCTATGCATTACAACAAAGATAGTATACTTTTATTTTATCATCTTAGAAATTCTTTTTTCTTTCTTTCGCTTAAATCAATGAGTGAGTTTTGAAACTTTTCATGTAATGATGAACAAAATCGATAATAAAACCAAAATGATAAGTTTAAAATTTAAAAATACACAAACAGAGTGTGTGGACATAATTTCAAATTACTGTTATATTCATAAAGTTGTATTAAATTTCTTGTTCACAACAATTAGCAGTAGAAAAATTAGAGTGAAAATATTGAATGCATAAAAAATTATGTAATGTCAAAGAATGACAGTTGCAACTAAATTGCGAGTAGACAAAATTACTTTGCAAATAAACACTTTCACACTCATTGATGGTTTTTACACATTACAATGGACTGAAAGGAAAAATTTCATATTTTACGAAATCTTAATACAATATGTGACTAATGTATTTTTCGTCAGTTGTCAAATAATGCAAGGTTTTTCTCTTAACAAAGATTTCTAATATATAATATGTTGACGTTACTTTAATTTCTACTACAATAATTAGAAATCTAGATTTTACAATTATGTGTTTTATTTTTAAAAAAAAATATTCAACTACATTCCTTTTAAAACTTTATAATTATTCTTAGATTAAAATTAAAAAAGAAGTAAATGAACCTCAAATATTTGAAGTTAACGCTCCAATCAATAATTTTAAATCATCATAAATTGTCACTAATAATGGGAAATGTATTTTAATGACAAAATTTTTTGTCTACTGAACCATTAAATGCTATTAATATTAATTCTTAACACTGTTTGTTTATCAAAAAAGAAAGTGAACAAAAATTTATCAGAAAAAAAGATCGAAACAAATCAATTATTCCATTACACTACGCCAGCAATCAATATTACCGCAGTTATTGCATAATTTAGTATATTTGTCTCATTCAACTTTTAACAGTAAGTAAATAGGATATTTTATCCATAATACACAATTTATGAGAAACAAATAAACAAATAATAATATGTAATTAAACTACTTTTCATAGAAAATTACTGGATGGTTAAAAGGTAAGTGTGGCGAATATTCAAACAAGTTGAAAATTTTCTCGCTTTTAAGTCACGTTATCTTTATTATCTTTTAAAGTGTATATTTTCAAAAAAAAAAAATGAAAAGATCTCATTAATTGATTTACGGAAATAGATATAGGTATATATATTTCACATCTTATCTTATCTATTTAAAATTTGTACTGTGACAATTTTAAATATTAAAATCGTTACAATTGTGTCAAAAAATTTCATCAGATTGACTACAAAACAATTATTTAAAAGAAGAAATAATTGCAAAAATTATAAAAATATAAAATAAGATACACTAATCAAATGCAGCAATCGTGTATTTCTATGCACTTGTGCATTTTGTCATACAGTTATTAAGCAACTCGTTAGTCATGTAATGATAAAATATGAATACAATGCATCTAAATTGTTGTTTAGAATAAAATTGATTAATGATGCTCATCAGTTTAGCTGAGCTTAGAATGCATAAAAATTGTATTTATGCGCTTAATTCAACAGTATCTCATCCAGTGTTAATTTAGTAATACGTGAAATGCAAATACACTATTTTTTACTTATAATTCTTGTTTCTTCTGTTCTAACAGTTGATTCATTTTGTTGTAAAGTAAAAGACTCTTGGCAAAGTTGGAATAAAAATTTCCTAACCTATCGTATTATTAACTATCCAAAACAATATAGCAAAGTATATAGCGATTATGTATTCAAGACAGCATTTAAATTGTGGAGTCAAAATGGAGGAATCAAATTCAAATATGTGAACGATAGCAAAGTTGATATAATTATTAAATTCGATAGACAAAATGAGCATGGAATTTTTCGATCTGGAGATGAAATTTCATTTAGTATCCCACCAGGTCCTTATGAACTTTCTGGTGATATTACATTTAATGATGATATATTATGGACAGCTGATGGAGGTATTTTCGATTTGTTTAAGAGAATTCTTTACGAAATTGGAATATCGATTGGATTGAAGGCAAATAATCGTGAAACTTCTATAATGAATCCAAATAAAAAATATTTTGCACGTCAACTAGATGATGGAGATCGAGAAGTATGTTTTTATTTTATGTTAAATAAAAAAAAAACATTTAATTTTCTGAAACCTTTATAAATTTAAGGAACTTCAAAAACGCTATGGTACACCATAAAAGCAATAGCATGGCATAGAAGTTTTCTAAAGCAGAATAAAAATTCCTTTCCAAAGTATTTTCACGTGGTCTCACATACTTTTCAATTGTGTAATATGTCTATAAAAATTTCCAATACTCATGCGCATTAAAAGCAGAAGATGTTTTGACTTATTTGTTATTCGAATAAAATTTAAATCAAATTGTGCTCCCGGATTATTAATTTTTCTTGTTCAGTAAAGTTTATTAAGTTTTCCGAAAATCTATGTAATTTTAATTTTAAAATTCAACACATTAATAAATGTAATAGCTATTATATGTTCACATAAAGACATTTAATTCTTGTTTACAAAAAAGTGAGTTGTGAAAAATTTAATAAAACTAAATCTTTATAAAGGAATAATTTGTGATTTATAGGTATCTATTGTAATATTGATTTTTTAAGTGTTATTACATACTTTTCCTATTTTACTGTGTAAGTTTTTTTAGTAAAAACAAAAGCACTGTATCATGCCTGTACAAAAAACAAGCAATTCAAAAATTTTGTACGCATTCAGAGTAAGTGTAATTTTGCTATGAAAAAAAGAAGAATTTTTTAAAGAAAATGTGTCTAAAAATATTTTTTATTTCTTTAGGGTTTTGTTGGATTTGTAGCATTTATTGATTTAGGTAAGTACTGTTTTGCATTTATATTTTTGGTTTAAAAAGTAATTTTTCTAAGCAGGAACTGCATTAAGAAATTATGTAGAAAGACGTAGTTTTATGTCTGGAAATGAAGATCTGACTGACATAAAACTAATCGAAGGTATATCAACTTTATGCTCTTAAATTATTAAATATTACAAATTTTTTGTTTTTTAAATTATTTTTCAGCTGATTTTACAATAAGTCGAATAATGGGAGTTTATTCTCTTTTGAAAGCATTGACATTGATTCAGACTACACTATACATACATTTCAAAGGTAAATTTAACATCAAAAATAATAATGCTTTATTAATTTACAATCTTTCTTTTTCTTTAAAGCTGTTGTTTATACTGGAGAATTGGCATTAGTTATCACAATGCTGTTTTTTATAACTGAGTGTCTTTATTTTAAGTAATTTTAAATTTAAAATTTTAGCTAATTGAATAATTTAATAATGCATGAAAAATTATCAAATTTTTAGATCATCAACGATGAATTTCTACGTTGTATTTCCATTTATATTAAATTGTATGTAAAAACATTTTTCTTAAGGTCTGCAACAAAGAATTAAACCATTTCTTTACTTTAACACAGCAATCACTCTTGCCGGGCTCTATTATCTGCCGAAAAAAATGAGACTATGGGAACCAATGCCGGATGCAGAAGATGAAAACTCTGAACTGCTTAAAAAAATTGGAAATCTTAAGAAAAGACGATTGCAAAATAAGCAAAAAATCTAATTATTACACGAGCGTGAGTGATTTATGGACTTGTTTTATCCACTTGATTTTTTCTTCTTAAAACTTTGCTGAACTTTTTAACCATCTTCAATTAGAGTACTCAATAAAAAGTTTTTTTTTTAAAATTCATAATTTATACTGCAGTTTTAATAATCAGGTACGGGTGTAGAAATAATTTTCAAGAATTCACGATAGTTAACATCTCCTGTAATAGAAATATTTGCTTCTCTAAAAGTTGCCTGTATTTCTCTTTCAGTTAGCTTCTCTCCCCAGTTCATTAAAATGTTCCGTAAAATGCGAGCATTTATTTTCCCAGTGTTTTTAGTGTCATATGCTTGAAAAGCATCTAAAATTTCATCGGGAAGTTTCTCAACTGAAACGAACATGAAGCATATAATTTATTATATGTTTATCTACATGAAATTATTGCAACAATGTTTCAATTCATACCTTTGGAATGCATATGAACTACTTCAAGAAAATCGGAAAATGATATTTTATTGTTGTATTTCTTCATATAGCTTGTAATTTCTTTAACAGTTGGAGATAATCCAAGACTTCTCATTATTAACACTAATTCATCAACAGTCCTAATATAAATTGGATTTTCATTTCGATTTTTAGCAAATAAATAAAATGCTTCTCGGAAGCTATCGATTTCCTTCTCGGTAAAATGTTTTAAATACTGCGACATTTTAATAATAATAAAAAACTATTTTGGTGCAACTAATAAAATGGAATTTCAAAAAAGGTATTAATTTAAATGACGATTTAAAAATTGTAAAAATTATGAGTATCCCGTAAAATTACAGTAATATCTTTATTTGCTCAGTTTTGAGCAATTTGCTTTTTGAAAATAAACTTTAATAGTTACACTTACAAATATGGAAGAAATTTATTTTTTCCCCAAATAGCTCTTTGCATAGCCCGTAATGACTGTATATTGCTTATGACCATCTCTTAACACTTCTTCAACATTCAATCCTCCCTTCTGCAATAAGTATATTATACGTTTTTTTTTTTTTTATTTTTAAATTTAAAACTTCTTTCTACTTACTGGGTGAGTACTGGTATCATTGTTATTAATGTCGATAGGATCCTTCATCGTCTTCATTTCTTTATAAAGTTTTGAATAATTGTATTTTTCGAGATTAATTTGAGTATTTTTTTGAAGCCTAGTTGAATTATCAAACGTATAAGGAGCATAGTTTTCTCTATATGATAGCATTTTGAGCAGACGATTTGTGCGATTTGTTGAAAAGTCAATATTTAAAGCTTCATGCAACTGCTTACATTGTTTCAAATGTTGACACTCATTGCATAATATTTCAACTTTCTTGTGGCATTGTGTGCAATTTGTCACCTGTGTTTCTTCATTTATGCATTTACAAAAATTTAAATCATTAAAATGTTTATCCTTATAGTTAAAGAGGCTTATTGACGATTTACTAAAGTATCGATAAACATCATTTTTTCGTCTTGCTGAATATTTGTCATTTTCAGATAAAGAAATTCTCTCTACTATTCGTGGATCGTTATTTTTAATGTTCATATTTTCTATTTGTCTTTGCAAACGCCTGAAAGATAATTGTTATTTAATAATGGTCTTGTAAAGTCACTAAAATCTTACTCCTCTAAAATTCTTTCATATTCTAGTTCCTTATCCTTTTGAATTTTCCTTTTATTTTTTTCATCATTAATTTGTTGCAAAAGGAGTTTTTGATACAACACCTGCTTCTCCCTGGACTCATTTTTAGCTTTTTTGTTACGTTCTTCTACAGAAAAAACATCGAAAGATTGAATTTCAGAGACTGAAATCCAAGGTTTTAGAGGTTTTTTCTGATTTTCGGTCGGTGTATCCTTTTTAGTTCTCAGAAATTCACTGTAATCAACAGTAATTTTTTGGTGCCGTATATTTTCTTTCGAATTCTTATTGAATGAAGGGAATTTTTGATAGAACTCGTCGTTCATTTCTTTATATTAATCATATTATAAATAAAAATAAAGTATTAACCGTATTAACATTTAACAAGCACTATAGAAAAAAATCAATGTAAAGTAAAAAATGTTGCATTTTAAAATATGTTTCGAAATTTATTATATTCACACCAGTAAAAAAAAACGTTAAAAAAACTTTTTTAAAAAACACGCTTTTATAAAAAAGACTAAAAACCAAAAAGTTGAAAATAAAATTAGATCACACTTTTAGCGAATCAGGATTTTAAAATTTTCTTGTGACAACTAGAAATGTAACATAAATTATTTCAAAATATTGTGATTAAGTCCAAGAACACAATGACACTAAAAGCGTGGGGCTTTGAGATTTGACGTTCTCTTACTTAAGAACTTAGCTGAACTAAGAATCTTGGACTTAATCACAATATTTTGAAAAAATTTATGTTACAATTTCTAGTTGTCACAAGAAAATTTTAAAATCCTGATTCGCTAAAAGTGTGATCTAATTTTATTTTCAACTTTTTGGTTTTTAATCTTTTTTATAAAAGCGTGTTTTTTAAAAATGTTTTTTTTAACGTTTTTTATTTGCTCCTTTTTTGGTCGCTTGGTTTTTGGTCTTAAAAACAGACTTATCTTCAAGAAAATACTTTTAATTGTTTTTTAGTCTTCTGGTTTCCATTCATCACTCTGCCGTATCGATAGGAATTTTACAGATATAATTCACATTTCGCTTAACTTCGCTTGTAGATGTCTTTACAGTAACGGATCTAATTTGACCATCTCTTCCCTTATGTAGAATAACAATCCTTCCAATCTTCCACTTAATTGATGATACATTCGAATCCATGATGAGAACCAAATCATTCAAATAATATTGAACCTTTTTTGTTGAATCGTTTGGTCTTACTTGACCATCGTTTCAGTTGACCTTGCTGTCTATCTGTAAAGTCACGTTTCAAACGACTGTTCAACGGCCGTCCAATCAAGAAATGGCCAGGTGTAAGAGCCTCAAAATCATTTGGATTATCGCTTATAAATGTAATTGGTCGGAAATTCAAAACTGCTTCAATTCTACATAAGAGAGTTGAAGATTCCTCATAGGACATTAATCGATCTGTCATAACTCTTTTTAAATGATGCTTCATTTGCTTAATTCCATTTTCCCAAAATCCTCCCATATGAGTTGCTTGAGGTGTAACAAAATGCCATTTTATATTTTTGTCATTGTAATATTCTTGAATTTGTTCTTCCAAATCTTTAGCTAATTTCTTGAATTCATTGCCTGCACCTTCAAAACATGTTGCATTGTCTGAGTAGATATCAGTTGGAAACCCTCTGCGTGATATTAATCTATCGAATGTGCCAATGAAAGCCACTGTTGTCAGATCCGTTAATAATTCTAAATGAATTGCCTTTGTAGACATACACTTGAATAATGCGATATAGGACTTCATTGCAGTTGTATTACGAACCTTCCCAGCTTTAATTAATAAAGGTCCAGCATAATCGATAGCTACCTCTTCAAATGCATTTGATTGATTTACTCTTTCTGGAGGTAAATCTCCCATAATTTGTTTGCGACACTTAGGAGATGCTTGAAAACATTTGATGCACTGACCAATAAACTTGTCTCACAAAAAATAATGTTGAAAGTTTTGTCGAATGCAAATTATCAAGATGAATCTGACGAATCAAATTATAAACAAATTGACACTTAGGCATGATGATTTGATGCTTATTTTCATATGTTAAACTTTCACATTCACCAATGCGACCTCTTGTTCTCATAATACCATAATTATCCAGAAATGGTGACAGTTGTTTGATACTAGATGATAATGAAACTTCTTTTCCTTTTGTCAACTTCTTCAATTCTTGAGTGAAAAAATTTAATTGTATAAGATGAATTACGTTGTTTTTACCTAGAAGCTCATAATCTGCATGTTGACGTTCGATTTTGATATTTGCTTTCTTCTTCCATTTATCTATTATTCTTAATAAAGATGCAAATATTTTAAATAGCTTTGTTGGATGAGAATATATATTTTCAATTTAATGAATGATGTGATTCAACGATGGATGAGTTACAAGTAAAACTCGACGAAATTCCTTTTTATACTCGGAATTATCCAAATCGAAGTTTAATAATGAATGTGGCCAGCACTCTACATATTCTTGAAGATTGACTAAAATTGAATTTTTCTGCTTCTACTTGAATGTCAGCTACACGATTTCCAACAAAAACTGATAACTTAGCAGGTTCTGACTTGAACCAATGAAGTGCAATTAAAGAGTCACTCCATAAATAAACATCATTTGCTGGAATTCCTAATATTGTGCTAATTCGTTTTGCAAATTTTGCAAACAATAAAATTCCACTAAGTTCTAATCTAGCCAGTGTTATTTGCTTCTGTGGTGCTACACGAGATTTTGATGTAATAATTCGACATGTAACATTTTTGTTAATATTTGTTGATCGCAAATACAACACCATCCCGTATGCCTTTGTAGAAGCATCACAAAATCCATGTAATTGAATATTTACTGGATTTACACAAATGATTTGTCGATCAATTTTAATTTGATTAACCAATATCAGTGATGTTTCAAATTTTTTCCATTCCTCACATAAATCATCAGGTAATGCTGACTTCCAATCAAGATGTAGTGACCGCAGCTTCTTCTTAAATAATTTTGCAGTTAATATAATTGGACCAAGCCAACCGATTGGATCGTAAATACTGGCAATACATGAAAGAACTGATGACATTGTTAACGACTTTTTATCTTTGAAATTCAACTTGAATGTGAATGTATCTGAAGATATGTTCCAAATTATACACAAAGCTTTTATTTCGCTTGATTCTTGAATCTTTTCAAGATGACTCGTAGGAATTGAAGAGAGTACTTCTTGACTATTTGAAACTCATTTACGTAGAGACATTCCCGCATTTTCGAATACTTCACATAATTCTTTTCGTAATTTGTTACTCTTCTCAACAGTATCACATGTAAACAACAGATCATCTACGTAAAAATTTGATCGAATCAATTCACAAGGATTTGGATATACATGCTGATAATCATCTGCTAGTTGATTTAATGCTCTCGTTGCCAAATAAGGAGCACATGATGTTCCATAAGTTACAGTATTCAAGTTGAAATGTATGAATAACTCATTTAAACCATCTCTCCAAATAATGCGTTGATAATTCTGATGCGATTCATTTACAAGAATTTGTCTGTACATCTTAGCAATATCAGCTTTTAATGCTATTGGTTTTGTTAAGAATTTTATGATGAGATCATAAAGTTCTGGTTGTACTGTTGGTCCAATAAATAACTTTTCATTAAGCGACAAACCAGTTGCAGACTTGCAGGATGCATCAAAAACAACACGCAATTTTGTTGTTGTACTATCTTCCTTCACAACTCCATGATGTGGAAGATAATAACACGATTCAAATGGTGACGTTAAATTTTTCATCTCAGTCATATGTCCCAATTCTTCATATTCATTTATGAACTTTTTGTATTCACGATAATTGATTCACGCTTGAATCTGTTTTCTAAGCCTCTAAATCGATTAATTGCATTATTCAAGTTATTGCCAAGATTGGTGTTATTTGATTTAAATGGAAGATCAACCACATATCTTCCACTTTCGTCTCAAACTGTTGTGGCCCTAAATATCTCTTCATATGTTTTTTGATCTTCAGTCAACAGTCTGTCTTTATTTTCACATTGTTCAATCATCCAGAACTTCTCCAGTTGTTGTTCAAGTGATGACTGTTGTGACATTAATAATAATGTTGTCTTTAAGTTTTCATTACATTCTGCATTTCCGCTTAACATCCATCCAAACTTTGTATGAATTAATAATCCATTGTTAGGTATTTGATGTCTGTCTTTTAATACAGCATCCCAAAATATCTTGCAAGCAATCAACATGTCAATATTATTTGGAACGTTAAATTCTGGATTAGCCATAAAAATTTCATTGGGTATTTGAAACTTCTTAGTTTCAAAATAATGAGTAGGTAACTGATCTGTAATTACAGGAAAAATATCGAGAGTTATGGTATTTTTGAAATGATCATATCTTGGATATTTTGATTTAATCGTTGCGACAGCTTCGTATTTTACATCAGTAGGAATATTATTGATTCCCTTTATTTCCTATTGATTTTTCTAAGAGACAAGCCCAGTCGTTTTGCTGTTGCTTCTGTGATGGCATGTCCATTGCTACCAGAATCCATAACAGCTTTTATGACTTGCCATTTACCTTTTTTGTCACAAATCAATATTTTTACTGTTGATAGTACAGTTTGAGTTGATGACAGTAATGCTTTATTGTTTATCACTAATCTTTTGTCTGATGAACTGCTTGTTGATGATTTTTCGAAAGCTTCTTCGTCTGATGCTTTAACTCGATGAAGTGTCGTATGATGTCTATTTCCACATGTATTGCAATTTTTGAACTTATACATTTCTTTGCAATATGTCCTGGTCTTAAACAATTCATACATAGTTTGAGCTTCGAAACTATTTCAAATCTTTTGTCAATGTTCTCTCTGAAAGAAAGTTTTTCTATTTTGCTTATTCTCTTGTTGATATTTCGAAGATGTTGGAATTGATGATTCACTTGCCGTATATTTTACTGACTTATGTTTTCCTTCCAAAAATTTACATAACTCACAAAATGTTGTTTTATGAGCATTAATGTGCAAGTCCCATTCTCTTCTGGTAAATTTATCAAGTCTATCTCTGATCATCTTTTCGTACATCAAATCCATAAACTCATGATCAGTTACATTCAGTTTTACAAAAGATGACCTTATGCTGACGTATGAATCCACCAACTTTAATATATCTTGAGTCATGTAAATCTTCTCAACTTTGAACAATGAATCTGTATATTCTAATAAAATTGCTCTACGATCATCAAATCTTGAACATAATGTTTCCCAAGTATTTTCATACGTGTCATCTGTCACTTGATAATTATTGAGGATGTTTTGAGATGCAGGTTCTATCTTTATAAAACTTTTTAAATAATGAAACTTGTCGATGTTAGAGAATGATGAATTCGTGTGTACTAATGATACGAAAGTATCACGGAAAGTTAACCATTTGTCGAAACTTCCATCAAATTCTGGCAATTTGATTTCTGGTAACTTGACTTTTCTTACTTGATGGCGTCGATCTTCATTTTCTCGAATTGTAACATCGAACTGTCTTTCTAATTTTGCTTTTATTTTATTAAACAAAAATTTAAAACCTAGATGCTTCGATGTTATTTGCTTTTTGAACGTTGAAAAAAATTCACTAATTCCTTCTTTAATTTTTGATAATCATTGTAATGTTGCATAAATTTAATTAGATAATTATCTAAGATGTTGTAAGCTGTACTCATATCATCGATGTCTTCATAATCAATTCCTGGTTCATGTATTTGCATCAAAATTTCATATGCATTAATAATGGATCGCATTTCTATTTTTTGAGCATCTATTGCTTTTGCTCGTGCCATTGTCAAATACTTAAATTCTGCTTTTTAGAGATGATAACTGTGCTCTTGCGTCGGGTTCACGCTCGTTTTCAAATTATCTTGATTTTAACAAGTTTAATATGAATCAGTTCAATCAACTCCAATACACTGAATTCTTTTCTTGACCAAACTTCAAAAATTCAATTTCAATTATAGATGCTGACCAGAAATTTCAGCGTTTATGATGTGCTGTCCAATTTTCAATTAGTTGATATTTCACTTTAATTATTCAATTTCAATTTCAAAGCGTACTTGCGTTGCGTTGCAAATTTCTCAATTTCTCAATGTCTTTCTCAAATTCTCAACTTTTCTCAATGTCTTCCAACTTCTAAAGATTCCAACTGTTCCAATCGCAAGGTTCGAAGGAGTTTTCCAGTGGACTGTATTTCAATTCCAATAATAAAAAGAATTACAAAAGAAAATTCTATTTATTCACAATTTCAAATTATACGTGATCAATTTCCAAATTATCAATTTCAACTAATATCAAATATATTCCAAGCCTCCTTAAATCATGATGAATTCCATTCATCAATAGGTTACAGGTGTTTTGAACTTCACTTCGTTACGTTCAAGTATAATATTTTAAACAAATCAAAATTTTATATCATTGACATTGGATATTTTTCCCATAAAATTTACTTAAATTGTACTATAATTAAGTATTTTTGTGGTTCCAAAGTCTTAAAATATTGTATTCCCTAGCAGAAATTTACTAGTAATTTCCTAGTAATTCACTTGATAACTTTCCATTTGCTACTTGCTATTTACTAGTCAAAATCCAAGTTCAAATCATCGCCAAAGACCCGCATTTTCACTTGCTCATTGACTAGTCAATTCGCTTACAATTTAACTAGTAATTTACTAGCAAATTTGTAAAAAATTTAAATGAATATAACCGTTGATTTCCACGTGTTCTTTTGATTTTTTTTGTGTAAATTATTGTAAAAGTATTAGTGTGTACTTAGTTTAAGTTAATTAAAGTACACTAACACTATGATAAAAAACAAAAGACTTAATTTAATAAAGTCGAACACTGATGAACGCCTCTGACTCGCACGCAAACCTGAGGAAGATAAATAATTAATTGAAGTCACATACAAATTTGGATCGACCTTATAAAGGTGATTTCTGCGCGCTCTTGTGAAGTATATGGCAAATGCCAAATTTAGAACAAAATTTTTTTGACGCAAAAAATTCTTTTTTTGGTGAATTTTCGTAGGATATGAACTTAAGAAGATTTGATCAAACATATTACATGGTAATTTGCTAGTAATTTGGTAGTAAATAGCGAGTGTAACTTTCTAATAGTAAGTTGTTTTAATAATTACTAGTAAATTGCAAGTAGTAAAATAGAAAGACTAGCAATTTGCTAGTTAGTCTCGCTAGGGATTGTCACGTGTGCATAAAAAATTTGAGCTTGATTGGAGCAGTAGAAGTGGTCGAAAAATCGATTGCAAGATTTGAACGCGACAAAGAAACCAACACACAGAGCAACTCAATAAAAGCGTGTAATAATAATAATAATAAAAAAAGAGCTTGAGGCTTTGTCGAAAAAATTGTAAAATATGCTTTGTGATTAACAAGCCAGCAACATAATGTGCAAAAATTTTACTATAACTTTTTATGACCTCAATCTAGAAATCCCTAAAATGAAGCTCCCCTAAAATGCAGATAGTACTGCCAAGATGCAGATGGTACTGCTAAAGTGCAGATGAAATTTATTTTCCCTAAAATGCAGATGATTTTTATTGTATAAAGCAGTATAAAGTGCAGATAAGATGCTGCTCAAATGTAGATCGTATAATTTTATTAAAATACATCATATTCCAAGACTTTTTTTTTGATACGTGTTAATAAAAAAAAAATCCATACAAATTTTCAACTTCAGGTGATTTAAAATCCCAAAAAAAATCCCCATACAAAATGATTTAAATCATAAATCAAAAATAAATCACTTGGGTAAAATGATTTAAATCCCCTCCATGCTAATTACATTAAAATTTAGTGTAGCAAAGTAATTTAAAGTCATAAAGTTTGCAATGTATTCAAAAATGCATTTTTGTTTTCTTGAAATTTTTTAATAACAAAACTAGTGTATCGGGTAGAAACCCAATGCGGATATATTCGCACCGTACCATCAAAAGTCTTGTGAAAAGACCAAGCTTAGCTCAGTATTAATTTGAAAGTATAAATCCTGACGAACCAGCTGAGCTGTGCTCAGCATATGTTTGGAGGTTTAAAGCTTAACGAGCATTCTTTAAAGTTTTTTAAAAACATTTTTCATCCAAAGTTTAATTTTATAAAAATCACAGTCAACTTTTGTTTTAAAAAATTCGTGAGAAAAGAAAGTTTTTTGCTTTTTTCTGAAGCAACGACTGTTCCTACCTTGCCCAAAAACTATACAGCTATTCTATAGAGCAGCACAGATCAAATGTAAAAAACTAGAAGTCTCTACAATGTCTCGTTATTGAGATTTCTTGCTGTTAACTGACCTAAGCTTGGTCTTTCCACAAGACTTTTGATGGTACGGTGCGAATATATCCGCATTGGGTTTCTACCCGATACACTAGTTTTGTTATTGAAAAAGTTCAGGAAAACAAAAATGTATTTTTGAATACATTGCAAACTTTATGACTTTAAATTACTTTGCTACACGAAATTTTGATGTAATTAGCATGGAGGGGATTTAAATCATTTTACCCAAGTGATTTATTTTTGATTTATGATTTAAATCATTTTGTATGGGGATTTTTTTGGGATTTTAAATCACTTGAAGTTGAAAATTTGTATGGATTTTTTTTTTATTAACACGTATCAAAAAAAAAAGTGTTGGAATATGATGTATTTTAATAAAATTATACGATCTACATTTGGGCAGCATCTTATCTGCACTTTATACGATAAAAATCATCTGCATTTTAACTTTTTTAATGCAACAGCATTTCATCTGCATTTTAGGGAAAATAAATTTCATCTGCACTTTAGCAGTACCATCTGCATATTAGGGTAGCTGCATTTTAGGGATTTTTAGATTGTGATCTTTTTATGATCAGATATGAATATATCTGTATTGGGCCCTATACTATTTAGCATTAACTAATGGCTGTAGATATAAGTTGCAGCTATAATTTATTGGGATAAACTAACATACAGCTGTAAATACAGATGGTGTTTATGGTTTCGGCAAGTAATTAGCTGCACTTACATCTGGGACAAAAATTGGTTTGTAGTGAGTATATAATCAAAGGAGAAGAAAATAATACACTTTATGAAAAAATGTAAAGAAGTTCGTAACTAATAAGTTACAATGCAAAATGCTGATAATTTGACTATCATAAATTAATCGTTCACAGGCATACACTTGATTGTTTTGTCGATTTTTTAAAGGAGGGAATGTGTATTTTTTTTTTCTTAAAACAATGTGGTCTAAATTGTCTGTACAAAAAATTAATTATAGTACATAGTTTGTTCAGGAATAATAAAAAAAATTTTGATTCCGTTCAGAAATAACAAATAAACTAGTAAATTGGGTAGAAACCTAATGCTGACATATTCACACCGTACCTTTGAAAGAAAGTATTGTGTATAGACCAAGCTTCGCTCAGCATATGTTTGAAGGTATACAGCTTATTTATAAAAAATAACAGTAAATTTTGGTTTTTTAAAAATTCTTGAGAAAATGTTGTTCCAAAAACAATACAGCTCTTCTATAAAGCATCTTGTATGCTTACAGAAAGTGAATTTTGCGATTTTCTCAGCAATGCCGCAACCAATTTGAAATCTGTTTTTTTGCAAAAGATGTGAAATTTCAGGTACAAACTTTTCATCTTTGGACATGTTAAGCTATCTTGCTCCATTTCCTCACAAAATTCGAAAAACTGATTTTTTTCAATCTGAGCAAAAACCAATACATTCACATGTGAAAACGGTGTGAATATAAAAGAAAATAAAAATAAAATCCACGACACAAAAATTTCAAAAAAAGGAAAAATTCTTAATTTAACTAGATTCATGATGTTTAACGTACAAACACATATGGTAAGTAGTATATTTAAAATGTTAAGGAAGCACAAAAGTATGCTAATACTGTTTAATTTGGTCCTAATTAGGATTTTGAAGGTCAGGCTAAAGCCGAAAAAATTTCTCGCTTAATAATCACACTTTTTGGCTTTGTTGGACTCATTTTTGGCGCTGTTATTCAGCAATTCTCGCAAACTATCTACATATTAGCTGCTGGATTTGTACTCGCTTTATTAATTACTATTCCTCCTTATCCACTTTATCGTAAAAAGCCTTTAAACTGGCAAAAATCAAGAAGTCAAAGCAGCTCAGAAAGTACTGAAGCAAGCAGTTCCAAAAAGACCAAGCAAAAGTAAATAATAAATATGTATTCCATTGTGAACAATCCTAAATATAAATATTAATAAAACAAAATATTGAAAAAAATACTGTTTTTTTAAATTTTAAATTTGTTTTTACTTTTCTGAACATGCTCTTAAGTAAAAAAATATAATTTTCTAGTTTTTCACTTTTCAATTAAAAAGGAAAATGATACAATCTAGAGTGATTCTATTAAGTCGGGTGCTGAGTTATGGTTTGAGATCAAATAGAGTCCAGTATCAGCCAATTCGTCATGCACACGCTGAGTAAGTATCTTATAAAAGTGAATATTTAAATACAATTTAAAACACTAGAAAAGTTTAAATTTATTAAATTTTATGAATTGTTTTAACTATCAAATGGTCAAAAAGTTACTTTGACAGTCATTATAATGATATAAATTAGATTTTATTAAATATATATAAAGTACCAATTTATATTAATTTTATTATATAATGAATGCTTCTATATATTTTTTAAATTTATTTTAAAAAATTTAAGATGGAACTATCGTCAAGGACCACCAGATTCATCACATCCTGCTTATGTTAGATACGGTGCTCCAGTAGTAGCTGGTTTGATGTGGTGGTGGGTTATGTGGCATTTATGGCATGAACCAGAGCACATAACTGGAGAATTTCCCGAACCTGATCCAAAATTATGGACTGATAAGGAACTTGGAATTCCTCCTGATGATTTTGAAGGCGATGAATAAGCAAATAGAATAAATATTTAAAAATTTGTCATCAACTAATAGAATTGTTCGTGAAGTGTATGTAAACTAAAGCAGAAGAAACGAAACAATGGACAAAATTTTATTTAAAAATTAATAAAAATTCAAAATGTGAAGAAATTATCAGTTTTTATTAAAGATATTAAACTTATCTAATGACTTGAACTTTATGATTGACTGTACAGGTTCAAAAATTTCATCTTTTGGAATCACATTTCACCACAAACTCTAATCGGTCCTTGTAAGCATAACTAAACATATTAGGTTCGGTTTTTTTGCAGACCGTGGGCTTTATCTGCATCATGGTACAGTAATACAAATCTCCTTTGGCCCCTTAAAAAAATATATATCCATTGTCAAGGTTTTCTCCTTTATATTAACACCAAATTTTTTCTTTTAAATGCATTTTGTGCAGCTTTATAAGCAAAATCAATATCTTCTTTTCAGCTCAGGAAATTTCATTAAGTTTCTTTCCATTTTCCGGATTGAATGTCTCAAACATCTTAATGCTCATTGAGTTGACAAATTCATCTATAATATAAAAGCCCTGTTAACTGATTCACGGATTCTAGAACAAGGTGGGTTTAAGATAACAGAAGTCTTTCAGTCGTGTTTTCAGCTGTTTATTTTATACGTAGAACTAAAATTACCAAAAATTTAAGCAAACAATATTCAAGGCGAAATGCATATATCTGCGATGAGCGAGCCTCCATTATTTCGTATTAAGTTTATTTATTAAAACTGAACAATAGTTCATCAACAAAATTAGAAATAACAGTAAACAAAAACATCTTGACAGTGCTGCATATTATTATTATAAACCGGGAACTGTTCGTAACGTTCATAATATATTTTAAAACGAATTAAATAAATATTACGAGTAAATTTCAACTAGAGCGCATTCTTCAAAAACCGTAATTCATCGTCGGATCTATCCAGCAGTGCAATAAATCAGTTAGAAATCGCCAGCAATGCTTCACAAAGTTAGCAACATAAATACTAGAGATATACTTAATAATAATTATCTCTATGACGTCCAATCTCGTCACATTAAGAAACACACCCTACAACCCCCCCCCCCCCCCCTTAATATCAGAGGATATTAGCTCTATATTAATATTTAAATTATTAGTAATATTTATTTATATATTCTTTTACAAAATGAATTAAGTTAATTTTAATATGGTTGGACAATGTGTATAGCTAATAGTTTTTATATCGAAAATTGGAAAGAATTGAGAAATGTGAGAGGGAGAGAAATAAAAATCATCTGATTTTAGTTGAACACAGAAGAAAAATGTTTGTGACTTTATAAAAGTCATCAAATTTTTGGCTGAAGAGCTCAGTTAACTAAATACTTTAAAGTGATAGAAGTAAAATAATTAAAAAATTTCAAGGAATTAATAAATTGTGCAATTTTTCTAAGATATTCTAAGATTTCTTATCCTTCAAATAAATAAAGTGAATAATTGTTAAATAAAAAGCAATAACAAGAGAGATACAGAACGTTCAGGAAGCAAAAGTTTTTATACTTAAAAAGCTGTTGATACTTCAGTGAACCAGAACAGTTTTAAGTGTGATATATAAATTTCAAAATGCCATCAAAATTAGACGCAGTTTATCGATCGTTACTTCTTGGCAAGTTTTTTACTAAAGGATGGGGAGAGCCTCAAAACTTACAAAGGTGAGCTAATCGTGTATCTACGTGATTTTTGAACATTACTTAATCATTAAAAATCATTTTAATGATTCTTGTTTACTGAGAAAATAAATGAGATAATTTGCCGGTATTAAAGCATATATTGCGACTTAGTATATACAATTTTTGAAAATAGTTCTTACATGATATTAATATATGTATTCGATTTCTTCTTCTTACAAAAGTTCTCTTATCAATAATTACCTAGTTATGTACTTCATATTTTGTTCAGGTTTTTTTTTAAATCAGAAAGTTCATAATAATTTCACTAATGTGTCAACAGATGATTTTTAGCACAAATAAATGTATGAATGAAAATAATTAGATAAGATACGAGAATTATTTTGGTCAAAGAACAGTATGTAGTAAAAAACAAACAGTCGTCAAAAATTATTTTGATCATCTTTCATAACAAACATATCGTACGATATATTATATACTTGTCGTGGAACGAGAAAATCATCATTTTAATGATGATGAAAAAAAATAAACCGATAGAATGAACTATGTAAAGTGAGTCGATGACATTCAAATTCTTCTTAACACAGTTGCTCTAAATTCTCCTTTTTTTATCGGCTAATAGACGACTCTAATATTAGAATGTAGTATTATTTATAAAGAAAAACTAAGTTGATCTTTTACTCATATTCGTTAATGCTTCTTATTGTAGATTGTTTGAATTCAGAAAAATTATGTCAAACCGTGAAGCATGTGTAAAATTAGTTCCCAAAGACTATCCAATACAAATTACAAAAGAAGAGGAATCTTCAGAATGCATAACAATCGAAGGAAAGTTTATGACGCCACTAGAATTACATTTGCCTGGATTGGTACCCGAAGAATCCCAAGATGCTCACTTTCAAATGATTTTACCGAAGAAATGGAGAGAAGAGAATTTTAAGCCTGTTTGTCTACATCTTGCGGGAACCGGCGATCATTATTATTGGAGACGCCGTAATCTAATTTGTAAGCCATTGATGAAAGAGGCTGGTCTTGGAGCTATTATTTTAGAGAATCCATTTTATGGATTAAGAAAGCCAGCAGATCAAGTTGCATCAGCACTTCATAATGTTTCTGATATATTTGTTATGGGTGGTTGCTTGATCTTAGAATCAATGGTGCTATTAAATTGGTGTGAAAAGATGGGACTTGGACCGTTGGGAATTACAGGATTAAGCATGGGAGGACATATGGCAAGTTTAGCAGCAAGCAATTATCCCAAACCGTTGGTTCTTGTTCCATGTCTAAGCTGGTCTACTGCTAGTTCTGGTAATTTGCTTCATAGTTTTACAATTAGTTCCAACAAATAAACTGATTTTTTTAAATTTAAATTTAAAGTTTTTACAGAAGGTGTCATGTCACATTCTATTAATTGGGATATGCTCGAAACACAATATTATGCAGATGGAAATTATCGCGAGAAATTGAGCAAAATGGTAACGATTGTTGATGATGCTTTTATCGCAGGCAAACATTTTATACAGAACTTCCAAAAGTCAATGAAAGAATTGAAAGAAGATATTAAGGATACGTCAAAAATGATTTTGGAAATGGATAAGGAAGTGAACCTATCAATTATCAATGAAACAAATCCATTATATGCAAAGAAAAAATTCCTTGAAATAAATGGTCGTTCAAATAAGCTAAATTTATCAATGGAATTGCTAAATAAGTTATTAGCAGGCGAAAAATGTGAACTTACTGCATCAGACATTAATGAATTAAACGAAAAAATTCAGATTGCATTAAAGCGTTTGAAAAATGCAAAGTTCAATCAAAAAGTACTTGAAGAGAAAGCAAAATTGACAGTAGCTGATAATAAAGAACAATCAGTGGCTTTGATGAACACTAATACAATTCAATCAGATACATCATCAACCGATACAAGTACAATATTTTCCACAGCATTCAATCTTTCATATACTCGACTTATGAAATTACTATCAAAATCATCAACCAAAGAAAAAGCACACTTCAATACCTCAGATCCTCCAGTAAGAGAAAAAATTACTATTGGCAAGACAAATTGGTGGCAAACAGAGGCTACACAATTTATGCGAGGAATGATGGTAAGTAAATTTTAGATATATAAACTTCTTATTTTTTATACCAACTTTTTAAAACTAATAGGATGAATGCACACACTTGAAAAACTTCAGTGTACCTTTCGACACTAATCTAATAATTGCCGTATGTGCCAAAGATGATGGCTATGTTCCTAGAGGAGGCTGTTCAAGCTTAGAGGATATATGGCCAGGAGCTACAGTAAAGTATTTAGACGCAGGGCACGTTTCCGCGTACGTCCTTCACCAAAAAATTTTCAGAAGCTCAATCATCGAAGCATTCGAAAGAGCAAAGAAAAAATATGAAACAAATGATCATAGAGATTTGGAAGGAAGTAAAAATAATTTAGTCAAACCAATTCTTAATGAAATAAAACTATCTATGTCTTAAATCTTATAAAAGGAACTGAATGAATTGCTAAACACTGCTTGTCGAGTATTGGTCAAGTCTTACAAAGTTGTAGTTATTTTATTGAATGTGATAATGATAACATTTACTGTATCCTCATTACCGACTTCTTCTTTAATTTAGATTTGCCAATGAGCGTCAAGAAAAAGTTAAACGAAAACTTTGTTAAATGTGTTTAACACATGTATAAAATGATTGTTAATACATATTTTAAATATGTGAATTAATAAAAAAATTAAGTTTTTTACAGTATTTAAGAGGAACTAATATTTTTTTTTGCTGTAGGTCCCAAGAGGTTCGCTCAAAAAAAGACAAATTTAAATTATTTGAATAATATCTAGGGTAAACACTTTTGAAATTTGCACAACTTTGCACATGAAAATTTCATTTGCTTGAAACTTTTTAACACATTATTTTTAAGGCTTAAAAAACTTTTGAGCTGTTGAAAATTGTGGAAATTTTCATTTGAAACTTCTTTCTGAAAGCTACGATGGATATTAGCAGAGATATAAGCGTTGTTTTTGACTTTTGAAATTTGCATGGAAATTTTAAAAATTTGCACAAAAAACTTTTAAAATTTGCACACTTTTTTGAAAGCAATCCATGACAATTTTGTATTTATTTTATGTAAACAATTATTTTTTTTATTTTTTTGGGAGAAGAAATAATATTTTCATCTGGTAATTTTCAAATCTAATAACCAGAGTTTGAAAATAAAATGAAAATTGCTCTATTTTGAAAATAAATCAAAATGAAAACTATGAAAATTGCCAATTTTGATCAAAGCAATTTTGCAATTTTGTCAATTTCAGAAAATTGCAATTTTGGAAATTGTTTATTTTCCAAAATTGCAATTTTGGAAATTGTCAATTTTTATTTTTGTGACGTCATAAATATTTGATGAATAATTTTGTATGAAAATTTTCTTCTTTTTAAATGAATTTTTTCTTCAGAAAAACAAAAGATACAGTTTGTGTGTTTGATGCGTGTTTGATGCGTTGTTCCTTTAAGTTTATTTTAAATTAAAGGTACTCATAATGCTCATAATCATAATTTTAAATTCCAGGAAATAAACTGTATCTTTTGTTTTTCTGAAGAAAAAATTCATTTAAAAAGAAGAAAATTTTCATACAAAATTATTCATCAAATATTTATGACGTCACAAAAATAAAAATTGATAATTTCCAAAATTGCAATTTTGGAAAATAAACAATTTCCAAAATTGCAATTTTCTGAAATTGACAAAATTGCAAAATTGCTTTGATCAAAATTGGCAATTTTCATAATTTTCATTTTGATTCATTTTCAAAATAGAGCAATTTTCATTTTATTTTCAAACTCTGCTAATAACAGTATTGCTGATTTCTTTTTCTAATATCGTCACATGCATCGTCGTTGAAAATTTATAGGAAAATTGAAGAAAAAATTCAAAAGTCAAGCACAAGAAATCAAAACAGAATCCATTATATGTAAAACTAAAGATCAAGTACTTAAAATGGATATCTCATATTTAAGCTGATTTCATTCCTATCATTCATCATTAAATAAAGACTAATTCTATTTTTAAATTCCCAAATTATTATTTTATTTTAATGCCATTTCTTTGCTCGATCATGGATTTATCCTTTAAAAACAATTTAACACTTGCTCTTTTTAAAATTTGACTTCGTGAATTTCTTGCTTTTTTCAACTCCTTTTTTGGTAAGTTTTTAATCGCCGATGATTCTTGAATATTTTTTTCAATTTTCCTACAGTCCCATTCATCGCTATATTCATTTCAGGCATAAAACATTAATGTTTTGAATCAGAAAAATTAATGTTTACATCAAAAGAATTAATGTTTACATCGAATTTTTCAATACCTCCTACGCTTAAAACTGTGCAAATTTCAAAAGTTTCGACAAATTTTAGTGCAAATTTTAAAAGTTGAAAACAAGCTTTTTTAAAAGTGAGTTTTTGGGCAGTTCCGCATATTTTTTCACAAAAGAAATACTTCCAAAATTTTAAACAGCTTAAGAACTACATTTTTTGATATCAAAATATTTGATAACGACACTGATTATATCCCAAAACTTAATATTTTGCAAAGTTTCATTTTGTATGAAAAATTGATCGCTGAAGGAATTCATCTTCCTGATGCCTTTAGACAACTTAAAATGGTACAACAACATTTGTACAATAATTATGCAAAGATTTTGTGAAGAAAGTATTATCAGAAGTGGATATTCTGGGAGAAATTTGTATTTTTTATTTTCATATGAGTGTGCAAATTTCAAAAGTGTGCAATTTTCAAAAGTATTTACCCTATTTAAGTTTTAATAGTTTTATTGCAAAATCAATGAAAAAGACAAACAGCATACGATTATTCTTTAGTGTTATCCTCTTTTAAAGAAACAGTACGGTTGAAGATTAGCTGTCCATTTTTAGAATCCGGATCAACAGAGAAAAAACCAATTCTTTCAAATTGAAATTTATCATAAACCTTTGCACTTGATAAAGATTTATCTGCAAATGATTTAAGAATTTTTAACGAGTCCTTATTACAATCAGAAAGGAAACCATTAGGAACTTCGTTTGCATCTTCAGGATTTTTATGGATGAATAATCGTTCATACAAGCGAACTTCGATTTCATAAGGATTAGACACCCATTGAATGAATGCTTTTGGCTTTTCAGCAACTTCAACTTTTTCACATGAACAAATCAATTCGATAATTTTGTTACTGTTGTCTTTTAACACCTTTTCAACCTTTAATACAACACCTGCATGACGAAGACCAACCGTTTGATTTGGAGATAATCTACGATAGCCCTTTTCTGGACTCTCTTTAAAATCTGACTGTTCGATATAAACGATGCGATCAAAGACAATGTTGTGCGATGCTTTATTTTCCGTCTGAGCTGGGAAATCGGGAATAGTTAAATTAATAGGTTTGTCGCTAATGAAGTTTCTTATAGTAATCTTTAGGGGCTCAAGAACGACAAGTCTACGTGGAGCAGTTGTATTGAAAAAGTCTCGAACAACTGCTTCAAGCATAGCTGGATCAACACTTCCTTGGGCACCAGTTATTCCCATTCTAGCACAAAAATTGTTTATAGCTTCTGCTGGAAATCCTCTTCTTCTTAAAGCTGTTAAAGTATACAATCTAGGATCATCCCAGTCACTAACAATTTTTTCAGTAATAAGTTTAGCAATTTTTCTTTTTGAAACCACTGTATAGTTAACATTTAGGCGACCATATTCCCATTGAACTGGACAATAGATATCTAACGCATTGCACAGCCAATAATAGCTTGATCTTCTCGATTGAAATTCTTTTGTGCACAATGAATGGGTAATTTGTTCAATGCTATCACATAAGCAATGTGTATAATCATAAGTTGGATATATACACCAATTATTTCCTGTTTTATGATGAGCAATAAATTTAATTCTATAAGCCACTGGGTCGACTTTTCCCTCCTCCAAAGTGATTTTCATTCTTAATGTCGCAGCACCTTCATCAATTTTTCCATTTTTCATGTCTTCAAAGAGCTGTAAATTTTCTTCAATTGGACGATCACGCCATGGACTCATTTCAGTATTAAAACCTTTCATTTCATCCGCTCGTTGATGGCACACATAGGCTAAACCTTTTTTAATCAAAACAACAGCCCATTCATAAAGTTGCTGGAAGTTGTCTGATGAGTGTGTTATTTGATATGGCTTATATCCGAGCCATTCAACCATATCCTTTATGCCAACAAAGAATTTCTCCTCTTCTTTTTCAGGATTAGTATCGTCATAACGTAGGAAACATATTCCATTATTCGCTTGAGCATATCCAAAATTAATATTAATTGCTTTCGCATGACCAATATGCAATATTCCATTTGGTTCCGGTGGGAATCTAGTCCTAACTTGTCCATTCGTTAGTTTTAAATGTTTCTTTAGCAATCTTTCGGTATTCTGAGTTGTAACATATCCATCAGTTTTATAATTTTCGCCAGGTTTATGAAAATGAACTCGAGTTTTCATTAAATCCATAATGGTCATTGCTGTATCTTCATCCTTCTTTTCACTTGTTGCTTCCTCCTTGACTGTTTTAGTAGCCAGTTTAGCCTTTACTGGTTGTTGTGGTGCTAAATCAGCCTCATTTTTTGGGCCCAACAAGTCAAAAATTTGCACATCTACTTCCGATTTTACTGCCTTTCCATCGGCCCAGGGAATTTTAGCACGAACTTCTGATAATAACTTTCCAATATTGAAGCGATAGCGTTGTTCAATTAATTCTGTTTTATTCTTCTTTATAATCTCTTCGACTGCCTTATCAATCTCCTCTGGAGTAACAATTACCTATAAAATTATGTAAACATTGATTATTAAAAGATATATTAAGCATTCATTGAGCTGTATAGCGTACATTGACTCCACAAAATTTCTCTAATTCTGCCACGTTGGTTAAATTAGCCTTTACACTGTGTGTTAAAACATATTCCAACGAGAAGTCAACTCGAATTGTATTGTCTAGCTTATTGTCTGCAATCATTCCAACTAAGAGATCCAGATACTGCATAGATTGTGCCTTAATTTTTGAGCATAAATGATAAATTAATAACCCTGACATTTTTGACAATTCCTCCACTTTTTTGTTCTGATTTTCTAGACTTTTTAAGGCAAGCATCAAGTTCTTTGTAAGTGATGCATTCTTAATGGTTTCCTTAGCTTTTTGTTCACTTAATCCCAATGATGTGAAACTTTTAATTATTATTTCATCAGAATTTGCCATTTTTGAACTGAAAAAAAAATAAATATTAATGATAATTAGTTATTAATCTGTTCTCTTCTCACATCTATTAATTATGCTCACTAAGTTAAGGATAATCTCCCAATTTGAATAATAAGCTGAATTTAAATGTGTTTTTTTTTATTATGTTTGGTTACAAGACACTTTGTACTAACATTTCTTTAGTACACATGATTGGGAATAAAACAAAAATACTTTATAAAAAAAACTTTTTATAAAACCACGTTTTTACCCGATGACTAAAAAGTAGAAAATAACTTTTTTATTGGGTTCAAAGGACATTGGTTTGAAAAATTGAGATTGATTTGAAAGTTTTATACTAAAGTCATGACCATACATGAATTGCAAATTTATTCACTTCGACCATATCGTATAGTTCTACATCTTAAAACGTGGGCGTATTCATTAATGGTGTATATTTGGAAAGCTTAAATTTGGCACAGCATAAGTTTGTAAACTAGAAGCAAACCATTGAAAGTCTTTATTGATCAGCTGTGCTATCGCACAGCATAAGTTTGTAAACTTGAATTTAACCATAGAAAGTCTTCATAGATCAGCTGTGCTATCGCACAGCATACGTTTGTAAACTAGAATATTTTTTGTGATTCAAACTTATAACGGCTTTTTGAAATTTAAAATTATTGAAAGTTGTACATATGTTATGTAAAAATAAGCTTAACCTTGAATAGGAGAAAATTTAATTTAATTGTACTATAATTAAGCATTTTTGAGTTTCCAAAATACTTGAATATTGAATTGTCACCGGAAAAATAAGTGCATGCAAAATTTCAGCTCGATTGGAGCAGTAGAAGTGGTCAAAAATTGATCGCAACATTTTACCAAGACAAGCAGAAAGACAGAAAGACAAGAAAGCAAGTTAAGAAAAACGTGGTAATAATAATAATAATAATAATAAAAAAAAATATCTCTTTTGTTTTTACCAAGTTTTGTAAAAATACTCAGATTTCAATTGAATTTTTAAGACCTAATAAGCAGTTTTCTTTTGATTTGGTAGTTTATTATGCAAATCTAAGCTTAAATTAGCAAACAACAGCTAGCAAGATATGGAAATAACAACTTAAATTAGAGACTAGTGTATCGGGTAGAAACCCAATGCGGATATATTCACACCGTACCATCAAAAATCTTATGGATAGACCAAGATTTGCTCAGCATAAGTTTGAAGGTATAAATCTAGCGAGTCAGCTGAGCTTCTCTCAGCATATGTTTGAAGGTTTAAAGCTTAACGAACATACTTTGAAAGATTTTTAAAAAAATTTTTTCATCTAAAGTTTAATTTAAAAAAAAATCACAGTGAACTTTTGTTTTGAAAAATTCGTGAGAAAGGAAAGTTTTTTGCTTTTTCTGAAGCAACGGCTGTTCCTACCGTGCCCAAAAACAATACAGCTCTTCTATAGAGCAGCACGGATTAAATGTAAAAAACTAGAAGTCTCTACGATGTCTCGTTATTGAGATTTCTTGCTGATGTTAATCTTGCTTGTTTGCTTACAGAAAGCGTATTTTGCGATTTTTTCAGCAATGCCGCAACCAATTTGAAATCTGTTTTTTGCAAAAGATTTGAAATTCCAGGCACAAAATTTTCATGTCTGAACATTTTAAGCTATCTCGCTCTATATCCTCACAAAATTCAAAAAACTGATTTTTCAATCTGAACAAAACCAATAGATTCACACGTGAAAACGGTGTGAATATAAAAATCAAAGTTTTGCTTTCATAAACAAATTGTAAACAAATTTTTGGTGAGAATAAATTAAAGATTTCTGGAGTCTAAAACTAGATATTTGATGTCTAAATCGGTACGAGATATTTGCATAAGATATGCCTTAATTTAAGATCTTTAGCTAAGTAAAGTTTTATTGTTTAAAATATTTTTATAGAAAAATAAGTTTGAGTCGACTCGAGTTGACTCGAGTTGACTTGAAAAAACCCGAGTCTACTCGAGTCGACTTCGAGCTCTGCAGTAAAGTAAACTATTACCCAAACTCCGAAGAATAAATGGCCTGTTTCACTAAGGTGGATTATCCACCGATCGGATTATCCACTTTTTCAATCCGAAGATAATCCATAATTATTTTTTACTTCGTTAAACTGCACGGTGAATCAGAAAAATTTGATTTAAAGAAAATAATTTTTGATGATGGATTTCACAAAAACAGATTATCCCAGTAGGTGGATTATCCTGAGATCATCCTAGGATTATCTACATAATTAATCTTAAATGTTAAAACTGGTTAAAACTGGGTCCCCCCAAGATTGAAAATTCAGATAATCTTCAGTTTTGACAACTGCTGTTTCAAAGTAAACAGCTTCAATCAAATTACTGCCTATCTGTAGTGCATGATTGTTGTATCATTCCGTCGTCAAACAACACTAATTAAGTGAAAACTGCAATAAAGCTTGTTACAAAAGAATAACAAATTTCTTGTCAAAATCAAAGCTTAAAACTGCATATTTATCATCACCCCTCCATTTGACTTCCACTGGGTCTTTATTCTGGCTGTTGTGTACTTGATTACCAGCAGTCAAGTGATTGCACGTTGAGTGCCTTTTAATAAAGCCTAAACCTTCTTCAAACTATATTTAGTGGGAGTCAGTAGTCCTTACATTCTAGAAATGTCTAGAAATGTCAAAGGATGACAAAGAGAATGAGGAAGTGAGTAATTTTGAAATATTTCAACTTATCGAGAAGATGAGAGCAGAGAACAAACAAGGAATAGATTCCCTAAAAAATAAACTTGGCACAAAAATTTCAGAAATTCAATTATTGCTTTCACATATGCAGCAAAGAATTGATGGAATGGAAACAAAAAAACAGCAAGCAAATGTAAAAACAGACGAAGAACTTAAGTTACAAAAACAAAGGAATTAATCGAGTCATTCGGTGTAACAGTCAGAGATCATAAATTAATTCAAACATTTCAACGTACTAGAAAGCAACCAGCCTTGCAAACACCTGTTGTGGTAGTCAAATTTAAGAATCTAGATACCAAATTGAAAGTTCTAAAAGCAAGAAAAACCGCTTTAGGCAGCAAAGTTTATTTCGACAATTGTCTTACTCCACTGAATCGCTTTTTGGTGTATAAAGCGAGAGAAGTTGCAAAGGAAAAAAAACTTCAGAGTCTTCTTGAGTGGTGACCAAGTTCATGTCAAAAAGGACAACGATACAAATCTAATTATAAATGACATCTGCGACGTTGAAAAAATCATAAGCTGGATTCTTAATCTTCGTGCATCTCTTTTATTGCGATTTCACTGAATTTAAAATATTTTGCAAAACCCTTTCTGCTAATGAACTTGTTATCATTTTAAAAAATTGTTTAACCACCAGCTTTACTATTTGTTTTATAACATTTTGAACAAGAGATCTTAAAGGAAACTTAAGTTTCATTGATCTTTGGCAATTTTAATTTTGCTTGTCAATTTTTATTATTCATGGATTCAATCCAATGTAATTTAAGTCATGTAATTAATACTCTTTCTCTTCTGAAGATTTTTTATGCCTCTTCAAACAGTTTAAGTACTGTTTGAGGAGGCTTTTTCCTTCTTAAATGGAGAGAAGAGCGTATTTAAAATAATAAAAAAAAAATGACTAAGCAAAAAAAAGTCCTAGAATAATTCATATACTAAAATTATTTTTTCGCGATATTCACTATACAAGAAAAATGATTTTTCTCAAACTAGCTTGATTTTTATTAACCAATTAATTCTACATGAGAAAAAAAATTTTTTGGATTTTCCTTGCATCGAAGAAATAGATAATCCTAAAATGAGGATAATCCACCTTAGTGAAACAGGCTTTATTACAATGAAACCGTTTGGTATGTTTTAATTAAACTACAATTACAAAAGAGGCAAGCCTAAAAATTCAATTATTTTTTGTCCGTTGAAAGCGTAGAATTAGAATTATTCAATAACTTCCGTGCTCTAAAATTTTGACGAAAGAAATTAGATTTTATTAAAAAATTTAATTCAATTAAATAAACTCGGAAAACGTGGTTATAAACTGGAAAAAACAATTAAACTTTATAGATAAGTAAATAAAGTGCATAAAGAAATTGAACGATTATAATAATATCAATAATTGTGTCTAATTCATGTGCATTATGTTTTAAACAGGTAAAGTTTACGTTAGAATTAACAATTTGCTCTATACATCATGGATTAAGAAGCATATTATGTTTGGGTCATACTGTTATAGTTATGATAATGCATAGAACATAGATTTAATAAAATTAATTAAAGTTTGAGCAAAAATATAATTGAATGTTTTGAGATATTGTTTAATTTACCTGGAAAAATATTTTATATTATATATGTATTGGTTTGTCAAAAAAAATGCTTAAGTTATGTTGCTTAACAACATACAATACAGAGTCTCTCATTTATTTATTTTTGAGAAACAAACTCACACTTTAGTCGATATTCGCTTCTCGTCGTGTTAAGACGTTACGTTAATTTATGCAAATAAAAAATAAAATTTGATCAGGAATATATAAAATTATAATATATATTCATTTAAAATTATCGACCAAAATTTTATTTTTCGTAACTCGAATCGAATAGTTATAGCTGAAAACCAAAGAAGCTTTAAAAGAACACAGTTTTAATAAAATTGAAAGTGCATCTCTTGTTATTTCCTGTGATACTTTTCAATTTTAATTAATTTGTCGGAGCTTGTCAGACGTGTATAGCAGAAATTAAATGAAATTAAAAATAAATCGTAAGAAATGTGATAGAGAAAGAAAAAAAAGTTATATAAATTGAAAATAAAAAATAATTAAAAATTGTGGATAACCACGGAAAAGTGAAAATTGTCGTTATTTGGATTACACGTTTATAAAGAGAAATTTCATTAGCAACGTGTTGCTTGTCTACGACCGAAAAAAGCTTCAATTCTTTACAACTAATTAGTGAACGACGAAATTGAAGGTAAATTTAAATGTATAAAAATCAGCGGAAAAATGCGATATTGCTGTATTTATACCATAATATATATCAACAAGAATGGAGGGAATCCGAGTATAAATGCGCATTCAAATATATGAATAAGTTTCGATCGTGATCAACAGGTTGTAAAATAAGCAACGCGGCAGAAGAAATATTTTGATTTTTTTCGTGCATATTCAGCAATGTGTGTTCTCTCTTCTTTTTATTGAACTTTGGCAAAACAAGATATGAGTCTATACGACACACATTCCTCAAGTCGATTCTTTGTCTGTCTGCTTATTTTTGTGAGGCCTTGAATCAACTAGTAAGCTTACAAAACCAAACGGTTTTTTTCAATGCCTTTTAAGTCAGAAATGCTTCTAATGTGACTATAATAATTATTATTAAAATAATAATGTATGGAAAATTTTACTCTTAGTCTTCAATTAATTTAATTAAACGAGATCTTCAATTAAAGAATTTTGAAGACATTTACCATTCATTTTTGAAAAACAAACTGCAAAAACTTAATTTAAGTTATTTATCTAAAACCCTTGAATATCATCATTCAATGTTACCCTATCGTATAATTTTTTTGTTACTGGTTAAAACAAAAACAGGTTTTAAAATTTTCGGTGATCTTCTAATTAAATTAAAGATTTCGTCTATATTAAAATCGGCAATTTTGGACTTGAATTATTTTTTACTATTACTAAACTTCCGAAAATATAGTACTGTATTTTCTTTATTCCGGTTTGCCACTCAATGGTAGAAAATGAAATTTTAAAATATAACTAGGGTTCATATTGCAAATACATACTCAAATAAAAACAGGTTTCTGTTTGAATAATTTCTTTTTATACATTTCTCAGTTCGCGAATTTGTTTACCGTCAACGACTTTGTTGACATGTCTCGCGTAATTTTTTCACTCCTCTTTGTAATAGACTTCTTTGTGCATCTTCGTCATCATCAACAACACAGTTTTATTCATTTCTTTTTTTTTACAATGTGCATTGTTTAATGTTGCGTATAGCATGCAAATAATTACATCCTTAAAAATAGGATTTTATCTCAATTAAAAATTCATTACAGTTGCTGATTTTGTATTTTTGAAAAATAATAAAAATAATTAATAACAAGGAATTTTTAAGGGAATACTTTTTTTCTCATGTAGTTTTTACATTAAACTTAAAAAAATTCTTACCCTCTATTAAATTTGGATTACTGTTTTTTAAAACATACTGCAAAAACACATTTAAATATCTCAAAGTCAAATACGGTCTTAATTTTTCAATGTCAACTATGAATTTTATTTGTAATGGACTTTTTTTAGAATATAGAGTGGATACACGTTTTGATATGAAATATAATGTTGATGCATAAACCAAATTATTCAGAATTGCCATAATAGCTTGTTCATTTTCACTTGTGTTTGTGTTATTGAATACTGGATTTCAACATTTTTACTGTCATGTCTTGAAATTTCCTAGGGATAATGCGATTAAAAAGAGGATTTAAGTGTATGAGAATGATAGAAAACAACTAAGAACTATGTTTAATAATACGTAAATACACACGTAAACTTGTCTCCATTTCATGTTTTGTATATATACTAAAATCATAAAAATGAATAAAATAGTAGAATATTTTTAAATCATAAAAATCCATCAAATTATGAATTTCAACAGGTAAAAAAATCTCAGCTACAAATTTATTATTCTCTCTTCTTCTTTTCTTTTCTTTTTTGGAGAAATTGTGTTTTAACTGTAACTATTCACGTCGTCATAATGTGACGAAACGAAAGAAATAACAAATGAAAAAATAAAAAATGTGAGTGCTTCAAGTTACAACAAAAATATTATGTCTTACGATAAAAGAAAACCTCGTGGAATGAAAAACAAGAGATTGCTCCATGTACAGTTACTCAGTCATATGTGTTTGCATTTTTAATTGGGAAACATTCATTTTTTTTTTTCTCTTCGTTACTTTCTTAAAAAAGCTAACAAAACAATGAAAATATTTTTATATATATATCTATACGGCATAGACATATGGATGCCAAAAATTCAATTGCTATTTTTTTTGCATTAGTAAATGTTTATAAAGTTTATTTCATCTGAATTTGCCAAGAAATTCAATTAAAAATATTATTTAGGTCACTTAACAGCATAGAAATAATTATGAAAATCATTGATTTTCATTTTTTTGGCATTGTTTACTTGAAGGGTTCTTAAAAGCATGATGTCGTTTAAATGAGAAGCGGAAATGGATGTTAAAACATTAATGAGCATTAGTTCTTAAAATTTTCGTTTAGTGTGCCAAATTTTTCTAAAACTAAATTGGTTTTCAAAAAAAAACTCTCTTTTATGGTAGAATTAAAAAAATATTCGTTTACTGATTAATCATATTATTTCACATTATTAATTTCTTTGGAGGAAGACTTATTTGAGAAACAAAAAGAGTATGAAAGATTTTGTGAATCATACCGTTGTTCTGAAAAGTAATGACACAAGTTGGACACAAGTATAGTTGTAAAGTGAATTTAATTTTAAGATTTTAAAAATATATACAGAATGTTTTCGAAAAACTGAGAGAGTGGTAGATTGCGAACACCAACATTATGTATTCCTTTTTTTCGCTCTTTTTATACTTTTAACAAGCCGAAAAAAGAAGCCATTCAACTTTTCTTCTCTTCTTTTCCATTTCAATATCAACAGCAACAACAATTCTCCATATTCACATGGATTAATAAAAATGTGAATATACTGAATGAGAATAAAAACTGGCAACAATGTATAACATGAGTGGCTTAAAATCGCAAAAAATAAGATTTTGATCTGGTTTTTCTGTTTGTGTGCTCTAAACATACATTCTTTATTGTGTATAGTGAAAGAATGTATTCTTCTTCTGCTTATTTCATAATTGGAACTAATTTAAAATGCATCTAAGGAAAACACAGAAAAGTTATTTAAAAGAATTAAAAAAAATGCACACTGGTCTAATTTTCAAAAAAAGGGGAAATGAGGTGTTTTTGGAAAAGTTTCACCATAAGTCTTTGGGAATGTCTCATTTTAACACATGACATTAATGCGAATTTTCTGTTTTTTGAGATTCTTTATTCAAACTCAATTTGCTCGGTTTTTGGTTCCTAAAAGGACATAAAAGCACCTATATTTTGAAATCTCACACTATTTAAAAATTTTTATCAAATGGAGTAGTGGCAGATTTAGTATGAAAATATTGGGGAAAATCCCTCTACAAAAGTTCGTGACTGCCGCAAACTACCTGAATTAAGATCTAGCCACTTAAATTTACCTTTATTAAATAGTGCAAACCTCCATCTCTCTAAATAAGTATCTCATTATACCCAGAGATTGCACTTTTTGGAGTTATAGTCAATCAAAGTTGGCCAAAAATGCCAAATTTTAAAAACTTTATTTCTCAAAAACCATTCAAAAAATCAACTTTTGCTCTAAACAAGCTTAAACTTGAAGTTTTTGATTTAATACTTGATTGTTAGGATATTTATGATATTGAACCCCTGAGTTTTTTCAAGAGCATAAAATTGTTTTTTTCACTCAACCTAGAACACGTGTTTTAGACCTCGAAATGGATGTGAACATAAAAGTGATGTACGGAAAAAAGTTGCTACAGGCTGAGATGCATTCAACGTGATATTGAACTCCCTGTACCCCCTGTGAAAAATTCTAGAAAAATCGAGTTTTTTGAAGAGCATAAAATTGTTTTTTTCACTCAACCTAGAACAAGTGTTTTAGACCTCAAAACAGATGTGAACATAAAAGTGATGTATTGACAAAAGTTGCTACAGGCGGAGATGCATTCAACGTGATATTAAACTCCCTGTACCCCGCTGTGAAAAATTCTAGAAAAATCGAGTTTTTTGAAAAACTTCAATTTTTTTTTCACTCAACCTAGAACAAGTGTTTTAGACCTCGAAATAGATGTGAACATAAAAGTGATGTATGGAAGAAAGTTGCTACAGGCTGAGATGCATTCAACGTGATATTAAACTCCCTGTACCCCCCTGTGAAATTTAGTCTCATCAGGTACTTTAGATTTGTCTGATGGCCAGCCTGGGCACAATACTCTTTAACAGCGAGCAATCTTTATCTTTATTAGTCTCTGTTTAATAGATTTTGAGTTTATCATAACTTAAATTCACTGTATGAATCATTTGCTTCATGAAATTCTCCTCAAAATTTACGTCTAACATTTTATTTGAAACGTATCGAGATAAAAAGTCGGCCACTGGAATACTTTTGCCGGGCTTGTACTTTAAATCTAAATCATATTTGTGTAATTTCAAACGAATACGCTGCAAGCGTTTTGATCCTATCTTTCTAATATCTTTATTAATTATGCTTTCAAGAGGACGATGGTCAGATATGACAGTAACTTATCTACCATAAATATAATTGTGAAACTTTTTACATGCAAAAAAACGGCTAAAAATTCATTTTTAATCTGACCTGTATCTGACAGACAACGCGTAGCAAAGCTAATAATTTTAATTCCTTGTTTTAAACATGCCCCTAAACCGTATGACGAAGCATCAGTTTCTAAAATTATTGGCATATTTTCATCAAATGTTGTACATGACGTGACATTTTTTATTGCTTCTTTAATGTTTTCAAATTCAGCTTGATGATTGTCAAGCCATAAAAATTCACTGATCTTTTTCAATAAATTACGTATATTTACTGTTAAAGAAGGTACATTTGGAATGAAACCCCTGATATAATTGACTACTCCTAAAAACTTCTGCACATCTTCTAGATTTTTAGGATTCGAAATATTGTTAATTGCTGAAATCGTTTCTGGATCAACATCTACTTTATTCTCAGAGCAGATATGGCCAAAGAATTTTACTGAGCTTTGTGTGAGTTGTAATTTTTTCTGATTGAACTTTACACCTGACTTTAATGCCCTGACCATTAATCTTCCTAAATTCTCGTCATGTTCTTTAAGCGTTTTACCAGTA